AGGCCGAGAGACTGGGTAGGCCTATCAGGATCTGCTCTGGAGTGGTTCTCCTCTTATCTCTCTGAGCGCTCCTTTTCTGTGGCCGTCTCCAAGTTTAGGTCCTCCACCACCTCTCTTACCCATGGTGTCCCACAAGGTTCTGTGCTGGGGCCTCTGCTCTTCCTCCTCTATTTGCTTCCTCTTACAGTCTATCAAAACCTGGGTGATGGGAGCTTTCTACAGCTGAATGAAGATAAGACTGAGATCCTCATCTGTGCCCCAGACAAGCTGGTTCCCAAAGTCAGAGACTCTCTTGGTCAGCTTGCTTCTCACACCAAACCTTCTGTCAGGAATCTTGGCGTGACCTTTGACCCAGCTCTCACCCTGGATTCTCATATCAGTTCTCTTGTTGGCTCTTCCTTCTTCCATCTCAGGAACGTTGCTAAGCTGAGTCCCATTCTGTCCCGCTCTGAACTTGAGACAGTTCTCCACACCTTCATCTCCTCACGCTTAGACTACTGTAACTCTCTTTTCACGTGTCTGAGCAGAACCTCCCTGAACCGTCTACAGGTGGTTCAGAACGCCTGTGCTCGGCTTCTGACCAAGTCCTCCAAACACACCCACATCACCCCGCTTCTCCTCCAGCTTCACTGGCTGCCAGTCAACTTCAGGGTTCATTTCAAGATCCTGGTTCTGGTCTATAGGGCCTTACATGGACAAGCACCATCTTACATTGGTGATCTTCTTAGTCCCTACACCCCCAGCAGGTCCCTGAGGTCCAGTGATCAAAGCCTACTGGTTGTGCAGCACCAGGCTAAAGGTCAAAGGTGACAGATCATCTGCTGCTGTGGCCCCCAGACTCTGGACCTCTCTCCCCCTGAGCCTGAGATCAGTGGACTCAGTGGTCTCCTTTAAAAAGCAGCTGAAGACTCACTTGTTCAAGCTGGCTTTTGTATGACCTTCTTCACCTCTCTCTCTTTATTCTGCTCTCCCCACCTATTCCACCTTCCTCAGTATCCACTGGTTTTTCTCTTTCCTGTTCACTCTCTCTTTCTTTACATTTTTTATCACAATTGTCTATTTTTGCTCATTTTAAATATATTTTTAATAATTTTCTAAATTATTTTCTATATTTTCACATTTTTTGTTTTTGTGAAGCACCTCATGATTTTTATCTTGAGGCGCTATAGAAATGATATTTTCTTCTTACCTGATGATAAACTTTTAGTTTTGTTCTGTTAAATTGCTTCATTATATTTTGGTGATGAAACTTATATTAATTATAGACTTTAGCAGTATGTTAACATTAGTGCCTATTAGCATAAATGTGCTAATGCTAACCACATGTCAGTATAAATAACACTTCATAATGTGGTTTTGGTTTTACAAATAAAGCTGCATTGAATGCATTAATGTGAATTATTCTGAGGCTGTAACAACATTTCTGTCTAATAAATGCTGTTAAATACAAATAATTCTATGTTCAGCAACACTGTTGTGTTGGTTAAGCTGAATATGCTAGAGTATTTAGCTAAATCGTAAAAAATCAGTATGTTTAATTATTGCAGTTTAATAACTTTTGGTAAGAAAAAGTGCAAAGCTGGGCCAGAATTTCAGTGACAGATTCTGAACACACGTGAAGAATAATTAAGGGTTTATTTGTACATTATTACTTAAGGCCCACATAAGTCTTACATGTATTATTAGAACAGTAACACAAGTTATTTTTATGAAAACTATAATATTAATATAAGTAAATGGCCTGTATTTGTATAGTGCCTTCTTAGAGTTCTACAACCCCCCAAGGCGCCTAACACAATCAGCCATCCACCTATTCACACATATACTTTCAGTAACACTTCACAATAATAGGGTTCTTTTATTAACTTTACTTACTGAATTATATTGAATAAAGTATTAACAACTGCTTAATCATATTATGTAATGCAATACTATGCACACACCCCTTCTACTTTCTCCCCACTTTAAAGATATTTAATAACATTTGTGATATTAATAAAGGGACCCTTTGTTTATTAATGTGTAATAATGCACTAAATAACATTAATAAAGGGACCCTTATTGTAAAGTGTTACGGTATTTTCTCTTTTAGGAATATAGTTGTTTTATTGGTCAGTAACGAGTAAAAAAATAAGTTAAATAAAAATAAGTGTCCATTCCTACATAAAGGAACACCAACTAATCGACGAGCAACCAGATCACGCTTCAGTAAAACATAGATGGTGTCAGTAAAGCATTCAAATGCGCATAAGCAGGAAGCAGAAAACAAGCAATTTCCTTCAAAACCACACAGAGAGAAAACGATGCTGCACTGCAAAAATAAAAAACATCTACAAATATCCCTGCAAAAGCTACTCTTCAATATTTTGATGTTTGGTTTTAAATAAATTTCATGAACAGTTTTCCACTTGACGCTCACACAAGTGCAACAAGTGTCTGCATCAGGATGCATGGCTGCCTGGAACATCTTGAAGCTATTTACATTCAGGGAAGTTTCAGCTGGTCTAATGAGCGCCGCCAAAGTTTGTCAGCCTGTGTAATCAGTGCTCCGTTACGTTCACAAATGCCAGCGTCCCTCGGTGATAGCTGCCAGTTAGCTATGGTGCAGGTTTAATAAAGGACGAAGGGTGATGGCTTAGGTGGGAAATTGCTCCACTTTGTTATAACTGTTTAGTGAAAATAGCAATTTCAAACAGATGTGGTGTCTGTCTGCCTGACGGGGGCTTTTGGCTGCTCCCTTGTGACTGATGAATTATTCTATTTTATTTCCTGTTTTGATTACGGAAATACAAATCAAAGAAGCATAAATGTATACGGGGACTGTTTGTTGTTTATCTGCTCCCATTTTTTGTCCTGGGGTCATATCGTGAATCTGTTTCATCTTAACAGTTTCACTTAAATCTCTTTCTGCATCCTGTGAGTTTTCACCCATTCCCAAACTAAACAGATATATGAGGCCAAAAAGGCAGAGAAAGCCTCTGATTTTCACCTGTTATTCAAAAACGGAGAACCGTTATTTTCACAGCAGGATGTGACGGGTTAGCAGTAAAACATACTCGGGCAACGCCAAGCGTCCGCCAGATGCGGTGTATGTGAGAACTAATTCTATGGTATCTCGTGGTTTGAAAAGAAACACAAAAGATCTTCATTCAAAGGTTTCTCTCACCATTCATTCAATAAATCTGCAGTGGGTGTGCATCCTTACACCATCAATGTTGGAAGAGGCCTTGTGAAATAACATGGAGCGACGAAAAGCAAACTGTTGACACCATTTATTTTAAACGTTAATAATTTTCTAGAAAAACTCAACACCGAAGCCCTGGCACTTGCGTTGGTCTCTTAGCCTTGCAACCCAGGCTGTATATGTGAATATATAGCCTGGGTTGGGACCTAGGGTTGTCTTTCTAAACGTCTGCATGTTATTGGACAACAAACAGCTACAGATGTCTGTCAACGAGGCAGTCCACCAGACTCCATCAAATAAGACACAAAAACGTCCTTTTTCTAAATAAACTTAAGTACCTCTATCTGCTCTTGATCTAAAGAAAAGCCCAAGTCAAAATAGTCTAAAGTTGACGCCAAAGCTATTTCAAATGAGCCTTTCGCCATCTTTGTTTTTTCAGTAACACCCTGCCAAACGAAAAGAGTGCTGTAATCGGCCCACCAAAACCAATAAAGCGCTGCGATTGGAATGCTATGAAGCTGTCGCCATCTTAGTTTCACTCATGCACAGCAGCACTGCGCCCACCTGGCTGACAGAGCTCTATGATTGGCCCACAACGCTCCGGTGCACCAGTTTCAGGAACTACGAGTCAGAGTTGAGCTTCAAATGACAGGATTAGGAGTCTTGTTCCCTGATTTTTGGACCTCTCGCCCCACAAATAACATAAGCCTGGAGGAGTTCTACCATGTGGTGGAGTGGCTAATGCTAACCGTTACCTTCAACTAGCTGAAATTTTCTGCTCAGAAGCTAATGGCAAACAGAACACGTTCAGCCAAGCTGCTAAGTCACCATCACCATGACACACTCCGCTCTCTCTCCTCGGTGCAAAAAAATGTTGTTAAAGCCTTCCTGTGGACGGGCACTTGCCAAGATGTGCAAGGCCAGGAATACAAATACACAGTGTGACATAGATATGTGAGGATTTTCAAATCCTAGCATTTCACTGTGTATTTTCTATCAGAATCTAATGTAGGAGATAGGTGTGGAAGACTAGTTTTATGTTTAGCCTACATGTTAAACTCAGACTGACCACTATAATCATAGATAATAATAATAAAAAATGGTTTTTCAGTGAACCACTCCTTTAAATTCATCAGGAAGTGATGACACTTTATATAATGTATGATTCAACAGTCGTTTTACTTTATTAAAACAGCGTGTGGAACAAAAGAGGCATTTTGTTTATTGGAAACAGCTCAGGTATACCACAGTTGTGCCTCTTTAATGAAACCACACCGCTGCTGACTAATTGTCAGTTACAGGCGATATAAATTAGCATGTTAATTTTTACACATTTGGCACCAGCTGGGATTACTGGAGCTGTATTCTAAATTAATGCATGGCACAAACGGTATGACAGAATAAAAATGATCCTCTTAGCAAATTTCTACACATTCACAGCAAAAACACGTTTCATGCATTTAACATTTTCTGTCTCTTTATGGCATCAACTTCTAATTCTGTTATTGTTTACAATGCTGTCCATGACTTTGTGCGAGTGACTTTGTTAAAGTCCAACGAGCAAACCCAAGGATGTCTTGCAGCACATTCGGCTCGGCCCCATGAGGGGGCAAAAGCAGTGTTCAGGGTTTTTATTTATTTAACCTTCATTTTTGTAGATCAAGTGACTTTTTCACAGTTTATTGTGATGTCTAAAAATACTGACGCTACTAAGAGGATGCAGAGAAAACGTGGAGATGTTTGCAAAACAAGCGCTGTGCTGAAAGAATGAAATATTTACAAGCATTACAATAAATACATACAAAATAAAGCTTACCATAGATGCCTGTAGAAATACACGGGAAGGCCTGTGCAGGAGAAGAAAAAAGTGTTAGTCACCGAACTATATAAAGGGAGATGCATTTAAAGGAAGTTATAATAGTTTTATGGTCCACAGCATGTTTATGGTGTAAAATCCCTCTCACATGTAGAGATGTATGCGGTTTTATTCTTCAGTTATTCAGTTTCAGTACCTTCCAGAATGAGGCGTTTCAGGGCTCTGTCACTTTAAGAAAACAAACTGGAGCTAGCCACGCCCACACATCCCCAACCTCAGGCTGCTATAATCTGAGAGGCTCTGATATACGGGAGGTGCTCCAGCTAATTTCCTCTCTTGTGACATCACAAACGGGAACATTTTGAAACGGCTTATTATAATTTCTAAAATCAAACACAGAGAAAACAAATACAGTTTTATTTCATGTACTGTAGAGAACAACAGCACATTTTGTAGTTTTGCATAATATGTTCCTTTTAAAATTTTAAACGACTTGTAAAGAAATGGAGCCATTTTTGCTTGTGTTTGAGTAAAAGTTAGTCAATTACCATTTTACCAATTTAGCTTGATAAACAGCCTCTGTTTTAGAAAAGTTGAGGTTCTATCCAACAGGACCAATGAGCTAAACGCTAGTTCGAGCACAGCCACAATCACTGTGTTTTACTTCCATTTTATAACACCTTTAAACATCAAACAGAAGAAAACCGTGTAATGGACTGGCACGGTTCAAGAATCATAACAACAGAAGAAAAATACAAATGATGGATTAAGGAAGCGGTTGAAATAAGGAGACACACACCGCTGGCCACCAATACAGATAAAGGAGTGTGCAGGTTAGATCATACATGGGGTGCACTGCTCAAGAAGAAAGGCAGTAAGGGGGGGGGGGGGACATTGTCCTCTAGTGCCCACACAAACAGCGGCAGAAGAAGAAATCCTAACACCACCTGTGGATGTTCTGATGTAGGCGACAGAGCAGCTGAATCCTCAGCAAACTAATCATGGCAGATAAACTTTTGCTGTTCTGTGTTTAGACGCAAGAACAGAGGTGTGGACTCGAGACATATGACTTGGACTCGAGTCATTATTTTAATGACTTCAGACTTGACTTGATAAAATCTATAAAGACTTACGACTTGACTCGTAATTGAACGCCAATGACTTGCAACTTGAATTGACTTGCATCGGTTGACTTGATGATGACTTGAGCATATTTGATAATTAAGCACAAAAGTGGCACGACATGGACAAAAATACTGAATCATTCTTGGTTCTGGGCTAGCCTAGTGAACTAGACCAAATTCTTGCTTTGCAAAGTTTGGTCTAGGCACGCTCCATTGGAACCTCAGCAGCTCCTACCAGGACTCTGGCTAGCCAATCACAGCTCTCTAGAGGGGTTTCAAACACATAAAGAGCTGTGATTGGTCCATAATGGTGGGCCAATCATAGTGCTCTATGTGCTTAGTGAACAAATCACAGAGCTTTATCCGCTTTGTGGGCCAATCAGGGCACTCTATATGCCTGGTGGGTGGGATGATGCAACAGAGTGAAACAAGAGTATGTCACATTCATTATCCAGTGGAATGCGGAGGTCATTTGAAAGACAACGGTAGAACCCGCCCCACAACCGAGAGCCATCAATGGAGCATGGCCAGACTAAATAATACATTTATTTAGTCTGGCTTGTCAGGCTAGGTTCTGGGCGTGATGTTCTGCTAACTGCAGCAGCACTTTGTTTATAATCCGTTTCAGTTGCACTTCCTGCTTGTTTGAGCAAATAAATGAAGCTTTAAGAAGCTTTTATTCAGGAATTTATTTATTATCATTGTCATTAAATTGAAGTTGGACAGATGACTTGATTATGACTTGAAAATTCAAAGTTAAGGACTTGGACTTTCACATCATTGACTTTGGACTCGACTTGGCTGTCTTTGACTTGGACTTGACTCGAGACTTGACTGGAAAGACTTGTGACTTACTTGTGATTTGCAAAGCAGTGACTTGGTCACACCTCTGCATAAGAATAAAAAAACAATTGAAAATAAACAGAATGACCAACAAAGCTACCAAACACAAGCCGTTCAGGAGGGTACATACAACAGGTGAAAACCTGTGTGTTTTCACATATCACATGGTAACTTGGTCAGAATATCCCGTTATGATCATCATTTGGTTACTATTTGACTGAGAAACTCACCAATTTTACTCTTCAACACACTTTTATGGCTTTCTCAGCTTAGAAATTCAGACATCATCCCCCTTTTTCCCAAGCACATCTGCATTAAACTGTAGCCGCTGTAAACACTAACTGTTTACCTTTGGAGGCCGGCTGTTTACCTCTGCTGCTTCACCTGTTTGGTCCCAGGAGAAGTACAGAAGGCCTTGTGCAAATCCCTGCAATGCTAATGTAGAACCATAACATGAATAGTAATCCTGTTCCCCAGCACAAAACTGTTTACTTATTCTGTTATCCTTTAAAATAAAAAGGCTTACAAAGTCCATGATGTACTTGAAGACTTATCATCATTACACTAAAGAGGTGGCACAGGAAAATTTCATCTGGGACCACTGAACCAAATATCTGTGCAGCCTATTAATACTCGATATCCTTAACAGCTGCGGCATGCTTATTTTGCCAAAAGGGAAACAGTGGATCACGCTCATGTAAATTCATAGGTGCACGTACAGTAGCAGCAGCTAAATATTCTCCATCACATGAATATCTTACAGAAGCTGACGGACTGTCTGTTGCCTACAGCCCAAATGTGCGTGTTAAGTTGTCTCTGGCATGTTTCTAATTCAACGCATCCGGAGTGAAAGACTGGGAGCCAGACGGCTTTCACTTTGAATAAAGATGATGCAAATAGCTTACAATGACTCAGCAATGTTTCACCAACACCAAGGATATGATAAATATGAGGCTTTAAAGCGCTCATTCCAACACATCTGCTGTGGTCTCTGATATAAAAGTAACACAGAGCACTGCTCTACTGGTTTAAAGTGGAATTAAAACAACCGTAAATGGCCCTGCAGCAGCCTACTGCAGCTAGCGCTACCAACAAGCTAACGCTAACATGATCCAAGTCTTACTAAATGACCCACACAGTAAAAGGATTCACACTGCTGGACAAAAATATTATTACTCACAAGTCTAGCAGCAACAAAGCCAGGTCACCATTAGCCTGTAGCCTTTTTCAGCTTCCTTAAACTAGCGTAGGCTGCGCCAATGTTCACTCGTTTTAGCTCTTTGTTTCACCTCCAAAGACACTACTCTCTTACTTTTACTTCCAGGCTCCACCATGATGCCAGCAGAAAAGCTAAGTTATTATTTTTCTTCTTGTGCTTTATATTTACAAATTGAAATGCTAACTGCACAGAAAATAGCTAAAAGCCGTAATGCAGGCATCAGAGTGCCCGCTAGAACATCCACCCGCTCCACAAAACTGTTAAGGGGAGTCTTTGGCCAGCAGACGGCTGATGAGTGGTGTCAAATGTGAAACTGGTCAAGTTTCTAACCCAACAATCACTGAGATCAATGTTAAAATGTTACTTTAATGCCTTGTGAGTCCATCCCAGAGGAATGGAAGCTCTGGCGCTCCTGGTTCTGGGGGGGGAATAGACAACAGCAGGATTTAGAGTCATGACAATGATATTAATGATAGTCAGACATCTCGCCTCTGACTGGCTATTAGCAAAACAACTCTTCCTCTGCCTCCATTCGTTTTGCAACGTTGATATTTAACCTCCATTAATAACTCGAGCCTGAAGGACTTCTGCTGTGTTGTAAAGTTGCTAATGCTAACATTTAGCTTCTGCTAGCTGAGACACGCTCTGCTCTCTCTTGGCAGCTTAACCGAAGCAGCCTTCACCGTCGGGGGGGCAAGATGGGTGAGCACATGAATGGGACAGCAGTAGCTCAAGAAGGTGGAGAGTCCAGTAATCTGAAGGTTGCAGGTTCGATCCCGACTCAGACCACAGAATACTGCTGTTGTGTTAGTGGGCAAGGCACTTAACCCACCGTGCCTGCTGTAAGTGCTCAGAGGGACCAGTGGTGCCTGTGTTCAGCAGGTCGCACCTCTGTCAGTGCACCCCAGGGCAGCTGTGGCTACATCGTAGCTCATCCCCAACAGCGTGAGTGTGTGTGTGTGTGTGAATGACTGATAGTGTTGTGAAGCGCCTTGGGGGGTTGGAGAACCCTAAGAAGATGCAAGACAAATGCAGGCCTTTGACCAATGCCTTTTTACAGTGTGATGTAGATCTGTGAGGCATTTTCTCGACCCATCTATTTTCTATCTTGAGGCAAATTCAGGAAGTAAAGTAAAAACTGTTTCTCAGTGAACTTGCTCTTTAAAAGAAATAAGTCTTCAGAAAGGACCGGATATGAAACAGTACAAATATATCTTGTCCCACTAGCTACCACACAAAAGTAGAAAAATATTTTTTTATACAAAATATATTAATATTTTTACAAGCTAAATAAAATAAACACACAGTTACGGATGTCTTTTGAAAATGATTAAAAAAGGTGACCACGTTGTAATAGTTCATGCTTTGTAGCACTTTGCAGCAGATGCATTACTCAAGCACGGCTTTATGGCTGAAAATGGTTTCATTATTCTTTACTTCTGTGAGCTAAAATATTATGATGCATAGGCCTCGCCGTACACGTCCCTACTTCACATTCATCTTTTTAACTACATTAGTAAACCGTAAAGAGAAGGAATTTTTTTAAAGGTCCTATTTGTCCTCAAGAGCAGCTGAAGATGTGCCTCAGCTCCTGCATTCATCAAAAGGTGCGGCTGCAGCGTTAACAAGAGAAGAAGACAAAGGAAAATAAAGGAAACAACATTCCAGTAACAGTTCACACAACGGGATGAATCCGACACAACACAACAACTCAGAGATGCGTCATAGAAAAACAGCCATATGTCAAATACTCCCACTGCCAAAGCTGAGGAGAGTAGCTTCTTTTTCCACTCTGACCCTGTCGAGCTGTATTTAGAAGCATTCCCTGGCAAGCAGCGGTGACAA